CAAAGTACGTTTTACAGTTGTGACAGCTTCTTCTCCATTGGTAAGTAACATTTACCTTAGATAGCCCGCAGACGGGAACGGTAGCACGTTTTATCCTAGGTTTAGCCTCAATGCAGCATCGTCCAAGAGAGGAGCAGACTTTAAGATCGCATACCTGTGCGAATTAGGTATCATTTTTGCCGTGTGGCCGATGGCTACTGATGTCCCGGCGTATAAACATGCCGCTTGTTCCCCTGCCTCTTTCTTCACTCCCAGATGGTGTACCATTTCGACCCCAGAAAAAATGCCGTGAGATGTATTAGTGAATCGCGCGTCGGAATTTAATCCACTACCCCACCCCTTGTGTTTTTTAAGGTGTAGAGGTCGTAGCTGCTCGTCTTTGCAGCTCGTTCTGATACTGTGACAGGGTACAGAGCAGGGAACATGGTGATATTGTTTATCATGGTCAACAAGCCATGAACTTGTGCCAGTTTTTGGCTGATTGGCTGTGTTGCACCTCAAACTACAACTGTTATAAGTATAAGTTACGAGACAGTCCGCAGTCGAGACCTGTCGGACGTCGGGCTCGGGCGCCGGGTGGCCATGTTTTCCGTTCACCGTGCGCCGTCAGGTCGCCTAACGCCGGCGTGCTGCCGCTAGTGACGTTTGTGGGCCCGACGTCGAAATTCGCCGCCGCCGATTCGTCGCTGCTCTGGCTATCGGTCATATCGCTTTGCCTGATCATTCGCTCAGTGGCGGTTCCACGGCCAACGCTGGACCTATGCGGCAGAAGGCGCCACCGACTGCCGATTGGCCAGTTTTTCTGTCAGTGTGAGACACAGGCGATCGTGGAAATCGCTCTGTCCGTTTGTGGCGGAGGACGTTTCTGAGGTAAGGGTGGTACGGCTTGCCACGTACGTGCCATGAGACCACTGTGCTGCGTGCATGTTCGGAACTTAAGACACGCGACGGGTTGCTTGTACGTTTAGTTTGTCTAGAAGACACGTTGTTTTGTAGACATGGAAAGCAAACCGCAAGACCAGCTTGATGATGATCAGCGAAAATGTGAAGACCATGGCGAAGTGAGTCGCAGAACTCGCTGCTTCAAGGGAACTCGCAGGAAATTCTCAGTGCTGGTACCTCCAGTGCCGGTGAAGCCTAAAACTGACGACGAAACATCCGGTCGCCAGTCGGGCCTCACACAACAGCAGAACGACAGCGAGTCGCAGCCGATTTTGGTCGTTCTCCCAGAGGGGGTCGAAGATGAAGGCAGCGAAGTGCCAGTCAAGAGGAGGCGCGGCCAGTCCTCCAAGACCGAAGTCCAACGTACGTTCTTGGCGGAGATGGCCCAGCTGCCCATGATCGAGCGCATGGCATCAAACGAAAACTGCGATCTAGTGAACAAGCACTGTCTCGCTGGTGCTTGCCGACGTCAGTTTAATACCTTCGAAGAATTGGCTTACCATCTAAGTATGTCACACCACCGCAGTCAGCAAGGGCCTTCGACCGTTCAGTGCCTGGTTTGCGGCAGGGAGGAGGAAGCCTATCTGGCACTGCTGCTGCACCTACTCTCTGATCATGCAGATGTAGCTCCCCGTGCTGGAGACAGCCCAGTTGTGCAAGCGGCAACGAGTAAGCGGAAAAACGTGGAATAGGCGCTGGTGATAGCTGTTTCGTGGCTGACATGCACTTTGTGCCGCTTGATGATTGAAGTAAATGAATCTGAAACTGAATCGTGTACTCGGTGCATCTTCTTCACGCATGTTGTTTGGAGTGTATGCTGAGAGTTAGCCTCCTTATGCCGCTTCCTGAAGTCCTTCAACAGAATATAGGTTAAACAGCCTTGAACCACCAGAAGCAAGCGTTCCTTTGGAATCACTTTCTGAATACTCTGAAAGTGAGGTACAAATATTGACAACTCGTGGGGAACAATTTAATGCAGCGGTTCGTGTTCGACATAATTTTTGGCCATGCACATTATTCATGTCCCTGTGTCTTCCTGTACGAAGTTATACAGGATGCTATAGAGGAGCTTACAGAATCGACATAAAACGAGACTGATGAATCAGTAATCTCCGGCTGACAGACGACACTAGGCTAGAATTCTCAAGTTCAATCACAGACTTGAACAAAAGAGGAGCATCGTTTGGTTTTAAAATGAACAAACTGATCCATGCCATGGACAGATACAAGAACGAGAACATTTTTCAGGTAGGTTGCTCCGCAATGACACTTGGCTATGCACAGATTGAGATACCTCTGTTCAGAGCTTCTCACCATCACAGCTCTTTGGTACAACTAAATACTAGAGCATCAACGGCAGTGCTGTAGAAACTTTGACCAGTTTCCAATGAATAAAAAATGTAAGCTAATATTGAAATCCATTAGATGATAGTAAAAAAAGTATAGAGGTGAAATGCTACCCTTCGTTGTCAACAATTATGTCCCTCTAATTTTTTCAAAGGAAAATTTCAATCCAAAGCCGCTTTGTTTTGAAAATGGCCACATACTCGGAAGAATACATGCCATACCATATCAGTCAATCTAAGTGACACCGCTTTCTGCCTAATAATAGGACTTGGAAATGCCATCGATGCTGCTAACGCAGGAACGT